CCTGTTAGAAACAATAATATAAGATAAAAGCCTTAAAATCATACATTAAAAACAAATTTGAATTACACAAAAGGGTGACTTACATCTATATGTGTAGATTTCTTATCCACCCACGTCTTATCCTTCTTACGTTGGTGTACATGACAAAATAACTCTGATGGAGTAGGAGCATTTCCAGTTAACTTTGTTTATAAGACAAATACAATAACACATATTAATACAAAGTGTGTATAGAGATAAAATACAAATTAATTCATGATACAAAACAAAATTTATAATAAAGTTTAAAAGTATAAAGACAAAACTTAACCAAATTAGCTCTATGTTGAGAAGTCGTAATGGAACCACTAGTGTGGAGTGACCCTCCAAATCCTCCACAATCAGATGCTCGATTTATTTTTGCTTGTGTGTTTTTTTTTCTTAAATTGTTCACTTCTCCAATGTTCACATAGTCTATCCCAAACATGATCTCTAAGCCAATTTGGTTTATTCATTGGAGCACGGACCTTGTTAAGAGAATTTTTCAATAATACTGCACCTCGCATTTCAAAATTTCTTCTTGCCCATCTATCGTCCGGCCGGCAAATGGTATTCCAAAAAACTTTATGCCACGATATAACGGTGGTTCTAAAAGAAAAAATATTAACTTTGGAGGATACTTAGGGAGCATTTTTAAAGAGTCTATCTCATTCTTTTTCTCTAACTTCCTAGGAAAGACTACAATGGAAAAAATTTGGAGGAAGTTCTAATGATGGAGCAAAGTGATTGATGTGTTTATCTCATCCAAAAGAGATAGATACAGGAAGTCCTTCAGATTTGTTCAATTCGTAGAGGTAAATGATCAAGTTAGGTTGGAGAAAAACATACAACACGTGTGGATTCAAGGGATGAATCTGAATGTTAATATTTCACAATACAATCAGAACAAAAATCCAGGAAAGGGAATGAAGACAAGACAAAATACTTGGATAGCCAAGAATAGAGACGTAATGAGCCAAAGATCTTTTGAGAAGGTGGTGGTCGGGAAGAGCAAAGAGAGTCCTAAACAAAGGAAAGAAGTGTGGAATTAATGTGGGGAGAAGATGTTTGAGAAAATTTTTCTCTTTAATCGCAAATTAGGTCGATTTGAACTAGAAATAACAATCAATGAAGACATCATTAAAAAACTTAACAAAGCATATGTGGGTAAGGTGCATTACCCACACAAAATAGCCTCTTTACAAGAGAAATTCAACAACGAAGTATTACTTTCAATCAAGGTTACGCCTATGGGGATGGACCTTATATTACTGGAATCAGAGAATGAAGGGGAACCTATTGAATCTATAGTTAACTCTAGAGTTTGGCTAAGTAACTGGTTTTCGAAAGTCTATAGCTGGTACACAAGAGTAGTGACACAGGCATTACTCATGGATGCAATGTTTCAGGATTCCAGCTCATGCATGGAATTAGACTTTTTTTTCACCAATTAGTGAGGTCATATGAGATATTATGTGACATGGACCAACCCACTACACCCAGAAAAAGGCCTGATGTTGCGAGATTGGTCATACGCACTACATTGCCAAATCTTATCAACTATGTAGGAAAAGTTAAAATTAATGATGAATATTTCTCTACAAGAGTAATAGAGGAAATGGTGGAGGATTTTTCTTATTCAAGTAGCAAGAAGTGGATGGAATCATTGTCTTAAGAGGAGGAATCAAAGGGAGAAGGGATGTCGAAGGAGACAAGGGGTTGGCTAGAGTCATCTGAGGAGAATAATGACACTAACCAGAGATATAAGTGAATTCCAACAAGAACTTGGTACCAGAACCAACAGATGGACCAGGGGGAGAAGGAGAATAGTGGAACGTTGGTGATAGGATAGTTCCCTAGGGCAGCGAGCATTGATGAAAAGGCCATGTCAGTAGATGAAGAAGTAGGTAAACTAACCGAGAAAGAGGAAGAAGGAAGGAAGACTAAACGAAAAGGATGTTAGTAAAAGGGGTTGATGACGGTGGGTTTCTCAGAGGGAGAAAAGAACGGTACACTAGATATACTCATGAAGACCTATAAGTCAAGAAGGGAAAAAAGCAGTTGATTGACAGGTTAGCTTTTAGTGGGACAATAGCTACAAAATTTCAAAAATGAAAAGAACAAGAAATTGGACAAGACAGGACCGGGGAACTATGGCATGTAATCTCAAGGCGTCATTACTGTCCCAAAAAGCAAAAAAGAGGTGGCACAAGGAAGGCGATGTAAATTCTAAATATTTTCATATGTGCATAAAAGCAAGGTACCGTGGTAATAACAGAGTGGTGATTAAAAGTGGTGATTTATGGTTGGAAGAAGTGGATGGTTGTGCCACGTGCTTTTGAGTTGGTGTCTAACATGAAGATTAATTTCTACAAGAGTGAGTTGGTTGGTATAAATGTTGGTGAAGACTTTCTTCTTCAAGCTTCCAATTTCCTTCATTACAAAGTTGATACAATCTTATTTAGATTTTTGAGAATTCCCGTGGGGGCCAATCCAAGGCGCATGGATATTTGGAAAAAGTTGATTGAGGCATTAAGAGAAAGGTTGAAAAGTTGAAAGAATAGATTTATATCAATGGGGGTAAGAGTGATGTTGTTGAATGTGGTGCTCAATAGCATCTCAATCCACTACATCTTATTTTATAAAATGCCAAGGAAAGTAGTATTGAAGTTTATTCGTATCTAAAGGAACTTTTTATGGAGAAGGGTGAAGGATACAAAAAAAAAAATACCTTGGGTGAGATGGGAGGAAGTGTGTAAAAGTAAAGAGGAGGAAGGACTTGGAGTGAAACATATTGATCAGGTGAATTGGGCGTTACTAGAAAAATAAAATTAGAGAGCGTTGGAGAATCAAAAGTGCTTGTGGATAGATATTCTAAAAGTACGACATGGTCCTTTGTTTGCTACACCAAATATTCCATTGAGAAATTCTAAATTTTCAACCTGGTGGAAGGATATTTGAAGAGTAGGTTACCTTGCAAACAATTGGTTTGTAAATGGTGTGAAGAAAGTATTAGGATATGGATCGAATATGAGCTTTTTGGATAAGGTGTGGCTTGGCATAGATAGTTTTGAGTCCTTCTTTCCAAGATTGTATGCTTTGGCACTAAATAAAGAGAGTGTGGTGTCAGATAATGGTTTTTGGTTAGAGGATAGATGGGTATGCAGGATTCGGTGGAGGAGGGAACTTAGACCATGGGAGGAGGAGGTTGCTACTAATCTGTTTATTATTTTGTAGGATTATCAACCACACCAAAACACTTTGGATAGATGGATTTGGATGAGTGATATGATTAAAGGTTTTTCTATGAAATCTGGGTATTGAACTATACAAAGCAATGTGGATGCAGGACCAAATTTCAACATTTTAATTATTTAAATTTTGAATAAGGTATGGTGTTGTTGGGTTCCCCATAAAGTCCAAGCGTTTATATGGCAAGTGATCCATGACTCTTTTCCCTCCGAAGCTAATCTTATTAGAAGGGGACTAAATTATATTTTAGAAAATGAAAGATGTGTTTTTTTATAAAAGAGAGGTAGAGAATACCGTTCATTATACTCATATTCTTCCTTAGTATACAGAAGGCTATTGGTTTTTCTGAGCTCCTACTGGATAAGAAATAGTGAAAAGTCACTTTGGTTATTTGGAGCTTGACATTGTGGTGTATTTGGAAGCATATAAATGAAATTATTTTTTCTAATTGTGAATTGAATGCCTTGAAAGTGCTAGAGATGATTAAATTGAAGACATGACAAGCTCTTGCTGCTCGTACTAAAACAATTTATTTCTCATTTCTTGCTTGGTGCTTTAAACCCATTTTTATCATGGAGTTGCTCTTTCTTGCATGATGACATAGTTATTACTTCACAGCATACTTTTCTTCTTATTACATAGGAGAAGGTTAGGTTTAGGAGAGATTGTTTTTTTTTAGATTGATCTGAGAGACTTATTATATTGTGCTTAATACTTGTAGATATGGGCTAAGCACCTCTAGTGGTTAATGAATGAAACTTTTGTGCTTATAAAATAAAATAAAATTCAATTGTTAGTCGTGTATAATTCATTACATAATCAATATCAGTTTTCTAGCTTTTCTTTGTAAGTGTATTTTACTACAATTCAATTCTAACAGAAAGGGTGTAGGGGGTTATTCTTCAAACTTCTTAGCAGTAAAACTGACCCATGAAAATTTTGCCATTGCTTTTTCCACTTTTTTTTGGGAAATTTTGGTTGATTAGCAGGATGGATTATTTTCGCACAATATTTTTCACGGCACATATCAGAGTTGTTATCAAATGTGTCATAGAATATTTTAAACAAAATATGTTGTTAACATTTTTCTAATTATCTGCCGTTGCAACAACAAATATATATAGTCATGAAAATTACCAATAATTTACTTTTTACCGTCACACTAATATTATATCATTGGATTCTATGTTTTATAGTTCTAAGAGGAAGGGAAAAATTTTATTTATCATTTTGAGACGTAAGTATATAAATAAAAAGGTAAACTTACCTGAGATTATTTTAAATAAAATGAACTTAAATAATGTGAAGATAAAAAAGAACTGTTCTTTAAAATGTAATTATATTTTGACACTGTTATCGGGTGTGAGAAAGAGAGACTAAACAAAAATAAAAGATGTATTGGGTAATGCGACATGAAAGGAAAGAAAAATACAAAGAGATTGTAAATGAAAATGAGATATAAGAGTAATAGATTTTAAAAGTACTATAAATTTATTAGCTTCAACTTATAAATTTGAGTTTAAGTATTTAAAATTTTAAATATTTATTAAAAAAATATTTATCACATTTTTAAATACTTAATAAAAAATGATTATTAATGTTTTTTAAATACAATAGACGACAAAAAAATGATTTAAAAAATTGAAGCGGGTTGGTAGCCTTAGCTTTGTAAAATGACGAATAAACGAAACAGTGTTGATTTCATTTGCATTTGATCGAACCCATCACCCATGTCTTCTTCATCGACTAAGTCGAATCCCCAAATGATTCACGACGTGTTCCTGAGTTTCAGAGGGGAAGACACGCGCAGCAACATCGTTTCTTACCTCTATTCTTCACTCTCAAATGCAGGAATAAACACTTTTTTTGACGATAATATCATCAAAGGACAAAGATTGTATCAGGAGCTGTGGCGAGCAATTGAAGGGTCCAAGATATCTATCGTTGTCTTCTCGAAGAACTATGCTGAGTCTAGTTGGTGTCTTGAAGAATTGGAGAAAATCATGGAATGTCACAGGAATATGGGTCAGGTGGTTATACCCATATTTTACTATGTTGATCCGTCCGATGTAAGAAAACAAAAGGGTAGTTTTGGAGAAGCCTTGGAAAGACTTGCAGAAATGTATTCACGGATGACAGATGAGTTGTTTCGTTGGACAATTGCACTCACCGAAGCTGCTAATTTGGCAGGTTGGGATGTCAAGAATTCCAGGTAAATAATCTTGATTTTCTTTAGCCTTTTGTTTGAGAATGTTGAAGAAGTTAATTATAATTCTAAGTACTTGAACATAAATAAAAAGTTTAAAAACTTATCCAACAGATTAATAATTTTTCCTTGAATACATTATTAGCATAATAAAATACATATAAACAAAAATGCAATAAACAAAAGACTCTTATTTTTTATGGGGGCCACACACAACAACAGAACCTAGGTCTTCTCATTATTATCACTCTCTTTGCACTAACAACTTCATCTAACGCACAGGTCTTCTCCTCCCAAGACCTAACTATGTACCTTAAATGTTATTCTCATTAACAGCTACAAGTTTTTAACATAGACTTTCCAAAATTATATTTCATAAAAAATCATTCCCAAAATATTTATCATGATTAATCATCTTCAAACAATTTAAATAGCTGCTACTTTCACAATCTCGTGAATATAATTATGTTAACTAAATAAAATTCATTTCATAAAAAGTTTAGAAGGATCAAGAATTAATATAACGGCTTGGTTTCTCAAGAAATAAAATTTATACAATAATATTGAGATAATACAATTAAAATTATAATCATAAAAATTTATAAAATAAATTACTTTAGTTATTGTTTCTTTGCAACATTGATTAACTAATTAACTCCCTCTATTAGACTATTCTAAAACTGCAAGAGAAGTAATTTGAATACCAATAATATTCGACGTCATAAATAAGTTTAAAGATAAAATGTTCGATATGAAAACATGCCGAAAACTAAAATTTTCAAACCTTTAAACTCTGAACATACCTCTCAAATCTTTGAATTATGAACATATCTTCGGACACTTAAATAGAAATTTTCTTCAGAATGGGCGACACTCCTTACTCCTCTCTAACTCTAAAAAATTATCCAAAGCTATCTGGGTAAAAAAGAAAAACAAATGATTATAAAAGTTTCTCCAAAATATTAAAAGGATGAATTAAAGGAAGGTAATGGAAGCTCACATATAAAGGTAGGTGTGGTGAGAAATAGAGAGAGTGTTTGTGTGTTATAACCTTCTTTTCTTTTCTTTGTTTTACAAAACTTACACGCACACATATGAAAGTATTGAATTGAATCATGTAACATTTTAAAATGATCATTGAAAAAGTTTTTTATCTTGACCATCGTTGTATGGTTAAGATTTACTTTCCTCACCTCATGCTAGTCAGATCATTTCCCTATATATGCATATGTAGATATAGGAATATTTCAATTAGTATCTGTATGTATAATCGTTCTCTCCTTAATACACGCTATATATAGACGTTATAGCAGCATGACAAACTCGTCCATAATGCAAAATGGTATGACAATTAATTGCTTGTATGATTAAAGTATAATTTTAGTTCTTATATATGACATTCTTTTACATTTAGTTCTTGTATGATTAAAGTACAATGATTCAAAAGGCACCCTATTGTTAATTGGAAAATTTATATTATCTCTTGTATTCCAGACAACTTATATGAAAAACACCACCTCTAAATATAAAAAAATTCTAAAGCATATTCAAGAATTAGCCTTTAGATAAGATAATCAAACCTATTGTCAATAATATATGAAGTGTGGTAAATGGTAAATTAGGAATCTTATCTAGTTTGATGGGAATTGCAATAGTCCTTGGTGGCACTCCTTCGATCAGCTCTAGTAAACTAGAACTAATCTTAGCTTCATCACAAATCATAATGTTCTCCAAATGTTAACTTTGTAAACTTATCAGCATTTCATTAATTACCCACTTTGATGTGCCTATCTCCAAAGACCACAATATAGTCCTTCCCAATTTCACATTAATGAAAATTGCCCAGAAAGAATAGTTGCATAATGCAACAAAGGCTCTGTTTTTTGGTCCAAGGCTAGAGACCATGAGGTGTCTCCAAGATCAAAGGGTCGAAAGTTAATCTTCACTTGTTATTCATGGCTGCCACTAACCCAAGTACAGTTGCACATGCTGAGGTTTGAACACAGAACCTTTTGCTAAATAGATCAATCTCACATATAGTTACTGAAAAGGAAGAGTCAAGGTTATTTTGTGAGAGTATAAATTATTTTAAATGTTGAGAGTAAAAATGGAACGAAATTTAAAGCTTGCCTCCAATCACCTGAATTTTACTTGAAATAGCTTTTCACAAATTAGCTTCCAAAAATTACAACTCCTTTATTTTGTTTTATCAAACAACTCTACTAGTTTATTGAGAAAACTGTAAGCCTGTGTTACTAAATGAATTTCTTATGTTCAATCTTGGCTAGCTTCCAAATGAATGTCCATTACAAACATTTTGGAAACCTTGTTTTAAATAGATTCCTCCCCTGTAACTATAATTTGTGTGCCACCCTATGATTTTGTCTTAGTAGAAAACCTTTGAAATTTAGCTAATAATATATAATGATCATCGACTGCTCATATCACCCTTTACAACACCCATGACATCTTGATCATCGACTATTAATATTAGTTGTATAGCGGCTCCACACCCTCCACATGTGGATCATCTAGTATCACTACAGTGCATTTTTTACACTGACCATGAATTCACACCGTGAACTCACTCAGTGACAGTTCATCTACTTGTTTAAGCATTCATCTCTTTATAAGCCCTAATTTGCTCATATCCCATTTTATGTGGGACTACTTCACGCTTGATTTCAGCATTATTGAATTCTGGTTCCTCCTGCATCTTCTGCCACATTAAATTGAAAATTAGCTTCACGTATAAGGGTATTACTACTTCACTGTGGTACTATACAAATAACTGTCACATCATTTACATCACGCTATTATCATGCCTATAGGTCATTTTCACAGGGACTGAATTGAGAATGAATTCACATATAAGGATCAATTTGAAATATTTTTACATATAAGCACCAAATTGAAAAATGAATGTAACATATTTGGGCTATAATAATAATTTAGGATTAATTGTACTTTTAATCCCTCCATTATAGTTAATGAGATTTTTGTACCGCAATAAATTTGTATGTGAATTTAGTTCCTTATTTTTTCAGATATTACAGTTAAGTTCTTCTATCACCTTCCTGTCATTTAAAACTATTAAAATTTTCAATATCTGTTCAAAATAGTCACAAATTGAATCAATCAGATCATTCTAAACCTTCTTTTACTCAAAATTCCCCAACAAAACATATAATATTTCAACCAAAATTTAAAAAGATCAAAATTTCCTCCTCTTCAAATCCTAGTCTCACATCCAACAAAATCTGTAAAATTTTATGAACATATTCTTAAAAAAGAAATAAAAAATAGATGGGCTTGATTTCCTAAAAAAAAAAATAGTGAGCAAAATTACAAATGGTTGTCTAAACTAAAAGAACTAAAAATATAATTAAGCCAATAATTTAATACACACATAAATAATATTTTTAAGGTATGAGATACTTCTCTTTAATTAATTGGAAATTACAAATTAACACTCAGAGTTTTGGGTTATATGTAACTTAGTTCCTGAACTTTAAAAAATGCTTATCTTGGCGCTTAGGTTCATTATTTGACTTGTTTATTCAACGGTTAAGGGTAGATGATATATCTAGAGTAAACTAGTTGTAGGTAAGTGACAAGGGATCAGGTCAAGTCAAACTTTTCTTTACAAGGTCTTTGCTTATGCATCAAATTATAGGTCTAAACCTGAACTACTTATGTGACGTCAGACATTTTCTAATGCTTCTCCTCAAAGTTTATATAAACATATTCTTTACAATAATTTCTTAAAATAGTCATTAAGTCTATCAGCTAATGTGGATAAAGTTTTAAACAAAGACTAAATGAAAAAGAAGATAAAATGAGGTAAGGTTGTAGTAAAATGAATCAAACATCACGCACAAGTTCAAGTTATTTTATGCAAGTTAGAAGGGCTTTCTTAAAATATAGGAATCAAATACTTACCCCAATTGAAAAGCATTCATTATCTTATAGCTAATCCAAATTGGGCCTACTTTACACTAAGTTAACGATCTTAAGCATTGATAAACACAAGCCTTCAAACAAACCAGTAAATACATAATTTCAAGAAGATGATCATGATACATTTACTTGAAAAGACTACGTTGTCATATCCAAAATACGTTTTAGATAGCTGGAAACATAATTTTGTTTAGTTAAATATAAGCTTTAGAAAAGTCTTCACTTGTCGAATAAATAAGTTAAGTCAAGCAAAATGCAAGCCATTAACAATTTGCTTCACCTCTTTTATCCTCAGTCCTGTGTCCCAAATATATAGACTATTTATTTATGTTCTTTCTGTTATTAATTGAACAAAAAATCTAGACTTAAATTTCCATTTCTCACAAGGTATGAATTAATATTTTAATCTTATAATTGATCTCTCATATTCTTTCTCACTGTATTTTTCCTCTTATATAATTATTGTGACAGGAGCGAAAGCCAAGTAGTGATGGAAGTTGTTAATTTTGTAATGACAAACCTAAACAACACATTATTGTCTATTACGGATTTCCCAGTTGGATTAGAATCTCGTGTGCAACATGTGACTCAATTTTTGGAGCAACAGTCAAGCACAGTTTGTATAGTAGGGATTTGGGGAATGGGTGGACTGGGAAAAACAACCATAGCCAAAGCTATCTACAATGAAATCCATCTCAAATTTGGAGATAGGTGTTTCCTAGAAAATATTCGAGAAGTTTGCAAGGACGATAAAGGTCAAATCCATTTACAAGAACAACTTCTTTCAGATATCTTGAAAACAAAGGTGAAGATACATAGCATTGCAATGGGGATAACTACAATCGAGAAAAGACTTTGTGGTAAGAGGGCGCTCATTGTACTTGATGATGTAACTAAGTTTGAGCAATTAAAATCCCTATGTGGAAATTGTAAATGGATTGGTCAAGGAAGTGTAATAATCATTACAACAAGAGATGTGCGCTTACTTAAAGTACTTAAAGTTGATTATGTCTATAAAATGGAAGAAATGGATGAAAATGAGTCACTTGAGCTTTTTAGTTGGCATGCCTTCAGGGAAGCAAGTCCAAGAGAAGACTTCACTGAACTCTCAAGAAATGTAGTTGCTTATTGTGGAGGACTACCACTAGCTCTCGAAGTCCTTGGATCTTATTTATTTGAGAGGACTGAACAAGAGTGGAAAAGTGTACTGTCAAAGCTAGAAACAAATCCCAATGATCAAGTTCAAGAGAAATTAAGAATAAGCTTTGACGGTTTAAGGGATCAAATGGAAAAAGATATATTTCTTGACATATGCTGCTTCTTTATTGGTAAAGATAGAGCCTATGTTACAGATATTCTAAATGGTTGTGGACTCCATGCTGATATTGGAATAACTGTTCTCATAGAGCGGAGCCTCATCAAAATTGAAAAGAATAACAAACTTGGAATGCATGATTTATTGCGTGACATGGGAAGAGAGATTGTTCGTGAAAGTTCAACAAAAGAACCTGAGAAGCGTAGCCGATTGTGGTTTCATGAGGACGTAATTGATGTATTAACAAAAAATACTGTAAGAACACTCTACATACAGTTTTGACTTTTGAAACCTTTCTTGAAAGTTTTAGGCTTTTTATGTGCAGCACATGTGTGGTTAAGCTGCAGCTTTTAAATTATCTCTATAGTGAGCAAAAAAAACAATGGTTTCCCATTTTTTTTATCTTTCCTTTTAATTGCAGGGGACAGAAGCTATTGAAGGGTTGTCTTTGAAGTTGCACGGTACTGGCAGAGATTGCTTTAATGTTAGTGTTTTTGAGGAAATGAAGAGATTGAAACTGTTGCAACTCCATCATGTGCAACTTGCTGGAGATTATGCATATCTTTCTAAGCAGCTGAGATGGGTCTCTTGGCAAGGATTTCCTTTAAAATACATACCTGACAACTTTTATCAGGGAAATGCTGTTGCGATTGACTTAAAACATAGCAATATTAAACTAGTCTGGAAGCAGCCACAGGTAAATGTTACATGCCATTTTCATTTTAAAGTCTTGAGGTTAATGATGACAATTTATAGAAATACCAGTTGCTACCATTTCATTTTTCTTGTCTGACCTTTTCTTCAAAATATGTCTTGAAGTTGCTGAGGTGGCTAAAAATCCTCAATCTTAGTCATTCCAAGTACTTGACAATAACACCTGACTTTTCAAATCTACCAAATCTTGAAAAGCTTATTCTCAAAGATTGTCCAAGTTTGTTCAAGGTGCACGATTCCATTGGAGATCTCCGCAGTCTTCTGCTGATAAATTTGAAGGACTGTAGAAGCCTTAGGGGTCTCCCATGTGTAATGTATAAAATGAAATCTGTGAAAACTCTTATCCTTTCTGGCTGTTCAATGATTGACAAATTAGAAGAAGACATAGTGCAGATGGAATCCTTGACTACTCTAATTGCAGAAAATACTGCTGTGAAACAAGTGCCATTTTCCGTAGTCAGATCAAAAAGCATTGGATATATATCCCTATGTGGATATGAAGGCTTATCACGCGATGTTTTTCCTTCTCTCATTTGGTCTTGGATGTCACCAACAATGGATCCTCTCTCTTGCATTCACCCTTTTAGAGTCATGCCATCGTCGCTTGTTTCTATTTATTTACAAAATAATTATTCGAGGGATCTGTCACCAATGCTTAGCATCCTTTCAAAACTTCGAAGTGTTTGGGTGCAATGTGAGACAGAGATTCAACTATCTAAAGGGTTGAGAACAATTCTGAATGATGTGTATGGTGTAGATTATACTGAACTAGAAACATCAAACACATCAGAAATCACAAAATACTCCTTGAGGTCTTATTTGGTCGGAATGGGAAGTTACCAAGAAGTCTTCAATACTCTCAGCAAAAGCATATCAGAGGTTCGTTCTTTCTTTTTCTGTATTCTTGCCTTTGCTATTCATTTTTTTTACTATTTAATCAAGAGAATGTGGAATAAACATTGTACTTTAGTAATCAACAAGCTAAGTTGTCATGCTCATATTAAGCACTAGGAATTTTCACTTTTTTATGGCTAAGCTTGTTTCATGTTTTCTATATTCTCTTTGATCATTGAAAATTAATTGAAATATAAGTTGAAATGCCTGTATTACATAAAAATAAATGCATCTTGACATGTTTTCTATGTTTTCCTTTATAAAGGCCATATGTAGAATTTGGAATAACAATGCAATGATTGAGGAAGTCCATTTGAATAGCAATGTTACATGGCTGACTAAGCCGCCTTTTTATTTGTTCATGTACAGGGATTGACTAACAATGAGCCGTGTGATGTTATTCTCCCGGGTGACAATTATCCATATTGGTTGGCCCACACAGGTGAAGGACATTCAGTGTTTTTCATAGTCCCTCAAGATAGTTGTAATCGTATGAAGGGAATGACTGTGTGTGTTGTTTATTCATCACCCCCTGAAAACATGGCAGCTGAATATCTTATTAGTATCATGATTGTTAATTACACAAAGTGCACCATCCAGATATTTAAGCGAGACACAGCAATTTCTTTCAATGATGAAGATTGGCAAGGCATAGTATCACATCTAGGATCTGGTGACAACGTGGAGATTTTTGTTAATTTTGGTCACGGATTGTTTGTCAAGAAGACAGCTCTCTATCTAATGTATAACGAGTCAACTGACGTGAAAGTAGAGCCTTCTCCCAAGCCAAAGAAAAATGCCTTTGTAGGAATCATAAAGAAGTTCATATCGTGTATGAATCAATCGTAGTAGAGGTTATATTCAACCACTTTTAAGTGAAACCTTCCCATTTTACATAGACTTAAAGGATACATTTATTAGTAAGGTTCTTCAAATCTTGTTCAGAGTTCAGTTCTCATTCTGTAAAACATCATGGTTGCATGACAAAGGCATGGTTAAATTGAACTGTAGGAAAATATTCTAACTGCAGGTTTCCATGGGATTGGAATTTATGATCGATGAATTCCTTATCATCAATGAAGAGCATTGACGTGCGGAAATTTCCTTTATCTTTCCATAACCATGGTTTTTAGTTGAAATATGATAGTTGAAAAGTGATAATTAAAGAAGTGTAAGACATTCCTGAGATGAAGAATTGATAGTTTGATTACTTTTCTCTGACTTTTATAATGAGATGGCATATCAATTTATAGGCATCCTCAACTATTATGTTTGAGTGGTTTAATATTTTAACATTTACAATATTCTAGAATTCTCTGAAATTATCTTGAAACTAAGATATAAATAGTTTTTCTTAAATTGTTCTTAATAAATTTATAGACTATTCTAGAAATTTATATCATTTTCTAATATATAAACGACCGCAGTATTTAAGTAAGAACTTAAATTTATATTGATCCCCTCTTACTATTCCAGACATTTCAGCTTTATCTGCGTGAAAATGATAGAAGGAAGAGTAGGAAATACAAATCCATATTGATGACTCTATTAAATCATATAATCTAGCCTCTTAAATATTTAAACAAAACTATATCAAATTAGAACACTAAGAAATTGTTGTAATCAATCTCTAAAATTAAACTTAGTCGTTGAAGAAATTATCTTTGCTAAGAAATTGTTGTGCTCTTTTGTGTGAATCTTGTAACAACTAACAGTTTAGGGCTTTCTCTATACTCTCTCGAAATGTAACTCTCGAAAGTATAAGTAATGGAGCTATAGAGTATCTAACTAAATATATAAAATATTAACTCTGTTACTACTCAAGAGAGTGAATCTAAACCAATAACATTTATTGAAGTAAATTAAAATTTTTAAAACCAAAGTTAATATTTGCTCTTTATATCTCAAGACATTTATTTATTTATTTGCTTGTTTCCATTTTGATTTGTATTATGGAGGACTGCCATTGAATAATCAAAGATTAGTGCACTGTAAATAAAAAAATTATACTAGTACAAAAATGACATTTTACAACAGGATTTACATCGTAACTGATGTGAAAAAAAATTACAGTAACATTTTTGAAATTTAAACAAAATTTTTTTCAATATCAGTTGGGTCATATCCGATATAAACTGTATTTACTACATTAGTTCAGAAAACAACTGATGTGACCCGATGTGAAAAAGGAGGCACGAGTTTTTTTAAAATTTTGTGGAAGATTTTTTATATTGGGTGTAAATAAAAACTGACGTAGAGAGTGTTTTTTACATCGATTCCTTCAAGAATTGCTGTAAAATAATAATGTTTAAGTTTTATTTTTATTTTTTTGCATTATACATTCCACATCGGTTGTATATTACAATTGATGTGAAAATGTTTTTCTACATCGATTTTGACTTATAACCAATGTAGAAGAGTGTTTGACTCCACTTTACCAGTTACGAACAATCACTTTTCTCGTCTCCACTACACAAAGCACTCCACTGTTTGAATTTCTCTCTCGTCCAAGCTCTAGAATCTTTGTCACAACTTTGTTTCTTTTGATCTTGTTTAGAAATTGTCATTAGTACATGAATTTGCCCCTAATCTCGCATCCAGTACACAACACATTTCACTTAATCTCTTTTTTATAACTTTAGAATTTCTCTTATACAAGAAAATCTTTTATTTTTTATACATGCTAGTTGCTATCAAATAAAAGAGTAACTTTATTTTTGGTTTTTTTTTCTCGCATACAAAAAGAAAGTAAACAAAGTTCAATGTAAATCAGTAATTAGGAAAAACAAAATCTGAAATTATGCAGGAAAATGCAAAACAAAACATGAAGAAAACACAGAAAGTTATGCAAAGCAAAATTTACAATTATGCAGAAAACTTCAAAACAGAATTACGCAAACAAATGTAGAAGAAAACACAACAATTATGCAGAACAATTATAACATAAACCCACAAAAAATAAATGATCAATCTAGCTATCTTTCTGTTACTAATGATATTGTAAGTAAACAATTCTTGGTAACGACGCCAAAAAGTTGTCACAGCTCTTAGAGTACTAACTAGCAACTATACTATGTAGTTGTAGCAAGTAATAAAATTCAGACTTATGAGTTCCAAGTATCGTTCCGAGGGATTGACTCATTTAATTACCACTTCACAAGATTAATAACTATTTGAGCTAAACAAAATTTTGAGAAGTTTGATGCATTTGAAGAATTAAAGCAATAAAGTTCAGAAAATTAGAAAGTAACATAAAAACAGATTGCATAGTTTTGAAATGAATTGATATGTGGGATGGAATTAGGAATGATTTCACCTCTTTATCAATTGCTAAACTAAATTAGATTTGAACTCTAAGTTCCTTAATTGATTGATCATCAATTTCATTAGATTAATCAAAGTTTAATTCCTTGACTCATTGATTTTAATTTTCAATTAACTATCCTAATTCTTTAAGTGTAAATCAATCAAACATTGCATTAGGCATTAGAAATTAAGAGATTACAAGATCATGAATGTTTATCCATAAGATATCAATAACCTTGATATTCAATTCAGATCTAAGAAATTAACTCAACTTTCATTGATGAAAATCTTTTAGGTTCAATTCAATTGAATAGTTAATCCAAGAATTGCATTAAGGAAAGATTTGAATGTTCAATATAATCAATCCATCAAAACAACAATTGAAACTCTTTTAATGACAGAATTAGTTTTAGATTGTTAAGAATTCCTTCATTTCACTTCATCCTTTAAACAAATTTATTCATCCATTCAATCAGAATGAAAATCACACTCAAGAAAGTTCTTTTATGCAAAATCTTACTAATCTAAGCTAATGAACAATAAAGCTACATGTGAAACAACAATGAAAGATATCATCACAACTAATAAGATAGTATTTCTCTCTTCACTCATTAGTGTTTAAGGTGAGTGTTTACCCTTACAATCATCAACTTTACCTCATCCTACCATATGCTTGTGCATATTCTCAACCTTCTTTGCTTATATACAATTAATTGCATATCAAGAGGGCTTTTGCTAGTTAAAATGGGTTTAGGGTAGGTGTTAAACAATTAGGGAAACAATTTAGGTAATTCCAAAGAAAAGGAAGACATTTTGAGTGAATGAGCTTAAAACTAGTGTAATGCCCCGAATTTTGTAATATTAATTATTGATAATTATATAAATCTAAATGTATATTCATGTGTGCATTTTTAGATATATATTGTGAATATGTATGTGTGTTTGTGTGTATATATATATATATATGTGTGTGTGTGTGTGTATGCATGACTGGTTGGGCTGAAATGGGCTAAGTTCCTAAGTACAAGACGAGATACTGAACTGTTCTCGCTGTAGCGAGAGGGCCCTGGGAGGAAGGACCAGAACTGTCACCTTCTCGCTGTAGCGAAAGACGTCTTGTTGTAGCGAGAGAGCGACAGTCTGGGGTGCATTTCTGGGTGCAGTCTCGCTGTAGTGAGATTCTGCAGAAACCAGAGTGTAGTTTTCTCTGATTTTTTCGCTGTAGCGAGAGGGCGGGTCGCTACAAGCAGAATATCTCGCTGTAGCGAGAGTGTCACGACCAAAAAAGGATTTAAAAGGGGCTTAGGGTTTGAGAAGTTATTTCTCAAAAATCCCTTTGAATCCCTCGACCTAGAACCCTTTTCCCACCGGTTAATTGCCTCCAAAGCCGTTCATGAGCTTGATTGAAGGTTGAATCAATGTGGAGAACGCTTGGAGGTGAGTTTTAATGGTTAGGGTTCCGTTTCTAATCCCTATTTCTCTGTTTCTCAGTTTCTTGGAGTTCTCATGGAGTTCTTTCATGTGTTTGAGGCCGAAATCTGTGTAGGGAGCACGTCTGTGGTCGAATCCGAGTGTGGGTCTTCAATCTAAGGTAAGGGAGGACTCTATCTTACTCTTTTGTGCATGAATTGTTGTTATTTTGCTGAATATTGTGTTGTGCCTAAGTTAGTGGGTAGAAAATTGCTACGAAATGCCTTATGGGCCATGTGCCGTGATATTTGAACCTTGTGTGTTTTGACCCGAAGTTGATGGATGTGAATTGTATGTAAATGTTGTGTAATATAGATGAATGTTGGCTATGTGCCGTGTAATGTGAAATGAATGTGGGCCTAGTACCGTGTATTTGAATGCAATGTGGGCTGTGTGCCATGTGTAAGTATGATTATTGCATGCGTGAATGGAATATGTGCAAATGGGCGTGTTAGCGCCGTTGTAATGTGTTGTGAATGATTCAGCGATACACTGGGGGTGTGGAAGATGAGGACGGTAGAAATACCTTGAGGAAGAGGGATGGTGGTGACACCGACTGCGGAACGGGTGCACCACAGGCCACACACTCTCTTCCTGACTAGACCTCTGACCATTACCTTTGTTGAGCGACCCGTGACTGTCCACCTGGTATCTGTGAGGCGGGGGTAACCGGCGACCATTCATGGTGTAAATCTGTGATCATAGTGCTACAGTGAATGTGGCTGACGTGCATATGCATGAGTTTATGAATTATACTTATGGATGTGAAATGCTGCTTGTGATTGTATTTTTTTAATGTATTGGAAATGTTCTGGAGGTGAGAGTCTACGTTTATTGTGTGTTTTTGGGTAATGTAGAATACTCACCCTTACATTCATTTTTCAGGTAACCAAGACGATCAGCACCAGGCTCAGTAAAGGGACGGATGGACTGCTATAGGACTTAGATTTTATTTTGAAAACATTGTAATTGAACTAGTCCTTTAGCAGTTACTTGATATTAACTTGTAACCCTTCACTTATTTCGAAATCTTTTATGAAAATTTGGTTATCCGATTTGCAAAATCATTATTT